TATATGTTATAATAACGATATAGATCTGAATACGAAGCCGCAACTTAGTTAAAACATGCATAAGAAGGTTAATTTTTTCTCTCTTCTATTTCATGTTGTTTTATATATTTTTTCATAATTAACTTCCCGTAAGGCAAGTTATAGTAATCGCAAAAAAATCGAAAATGAAATTTTTTATATATCTTTACGTTTCAGAGGTTTCTGAATACTTTGGCGTACCTTAGAAAAAATTGATGTATGTGTGTGTACGTGTGTGTTTTCGGGAACACGGATGAAGCGATTTGAATAATTTAAAAAACATTCGATTCGTATTGATAAGAAGACGTGCTGATTAGTTTTTGGCGAAGGCAGGTCTAGCCGTTCCGAAGATATGTGGCTGAAAGTGCCAAAAACGGTAACTCAGTTTTTAAGAGAACGGAGCGTCCGATTTGAATAATTCAAAAAACATTTTACTTGTATTAACAAGATGAAGAACTGATCAAATTTTCATAAAGGCAGGTCTAGCGGTTTCAGAGATCTAGTAAAAAAAATGCCATCTGACGGTCAAAAATGATCATTAGACATATGCACATCAAATTATCAGATATTTTATAGAGATTTTAACAATAAGTATAAATTTTATTCACATTCCTATGGGTTTCGTACCAATGCTTATCCGTTAGACGGCGGCGCGGCGCTTACGCGCTTCGATATGTCGTGTCTATGCAGTTAAAGCAGTACGATTGGTTTGAAAAACAGTTCAGAATTTCCAAAATATTTCAAAATACACTTTTCTTCAAAAAGTCTTTTTTTCAAAAAAAAGTAAATTTTTGTCAAAAAAATATAGTTTCTCAAAAATCTAATTTTTCAGAGTAAATTTTTTTCAAAAATGTTAATCTTTCTTTAAAAAAAAAAATTGGTACGAGAAGTTTCAGCAATTTGCCTTAAGGCACGATGCCATGCGCCCCACTAGTTAGTTTTTGTAATTTGCGTTACATCAGGGGGTATAGGTATAGAATGTGCAATAGTAAAGTAGAGGCATAAATTATAAGCGATTTTGGAAAAGACTTTTTAAAAAAGACAAACAATGTTTTTGCTATATTTTTTACGAGTTATTACTCAATGTTTTAAAAATAATCATACAATTTTAATTCTGGAAGGTGATGAAGTGGGGGTCTTATAAAATTGGCACCTGGCTACGCCCATGATGTTAGTCATTCAAATAACCTGAAGGAAAAAAAATATCAATCTAGAATAATGACGCCACTAACTACGGACAAGTTAAAATATTCTTTTTATAGAAAATACAACATTTTATTTGTGTTATCGATTTTTTTAAAAACAGTAAAAATCAGAATTTGGGGGTAAACTCAATACTTTGAGGGTAAGTTTATACTGAAAAGAAGTCTATAAAAATGACTCTAAAAATTTCAAGTAAATCGGTTCAGTGAACACTGATAAATCGTAGATATCGAGTCCAAAAACACTGTTTCGAGAAAAAACAGTTTAAAGTTTCGCGGAAGTGGAAAACAGAGGAGGATTATCGTGATCAAACAATTATACCAGAAAAAATAATTGAAATTTAAGAAAATGTTCTTTTACACATGTTCTTGATCTTTGAAAATATCAACAAAAAATCGATTCTTCAAAAACTCTAGATCAGAAAACCTCCTATAAATGGAAAAACATCCCAACTGTAACGACTTTCAAATTTCACATTTTCTTGGACTCGAGAGGTTTTAGAGATGGCAACCCAAACTGTTGCTTTATCTCTATGTAGTGAATTTAATTATTATAATTTCTGTAATAGTGATGATTTTCTTTATTGATGCTACAATGCCAGACAAGGGCTATTTTCACTTGGAAACATATTGCTATCAATATTTCCAAGTAAAAACTGATAACTACTGCGTGACAACTGCCCGAGGAGGCAATGCATCCTTATATCTCCTGGGACCTGACCCCAAAGAAAATTTAGAGCAAATACGCTTTTTTTAATCACTCTCATTAGGTACACGGAAACTTTATAAAAGATCCGCCAATTTAAATTTGGTATAAATTTTCATTTTTTTCCGAGGAAATTATAATGAACTTTGCAAATGAATATACAATACGTAAATCGTGGCGGTTGTGTTTACATGCATAAACATCGTAAATCTCGGAGATGTTTACTTATGCAGATAAGTAATTTTAAAACTCGTAGCTTGCAATGGGCTTTCTGGTGTATCTAAATGTAAATATACGCATCCAAACCATATCAATTATATTTGATACGTTAAGAAAGGTCTCTCTTGTTGCTATCGACAATTTTTGACGATCAGGTTGCTTCCTTTTGTGTTGATTGGTTAAATTTTAAGTCACAACTCGGTTTGGATTAAAGTTGTTTTCAAAAGATGTATTTAAATGGGCGCCTACACTCTGGATTAGTGGTTAGAGCTATGAGATCTATGACAGTTTGATGTCAAGCAGTAGTGACATCCGTTTATACTTAGAAATATTGATAACAATAAGTATTAATAAAAATCATCTCTATTACAGAATTTGAAAAAATAAATATTTGTCACATTAGAGATAAGACAACCCATTGGATCGCCATCTATAAAATGAGGCACTTTGTTCAAGATGTTAGCACAACATTCGTAAACTCCGTTATTACCAACTTGTGGGGGGCGCGAGGTTGTTCTAAGAGGAATGTACAGCCCTTCTTAAAATTCTTCTTAAAAATGTTGAAATGCTATAAAAAAATTAACGAATAAAAAATTATTTTTAATTTCCCTTAGGGTAAGTTATAGTAATAGGCCAAAAATCGAAAATTAAAATTCTTGCGTATCTTTACGTTTCAGGAATTTCTGAACATTTTGGCATACTTCAGAAAAAAAATTGTGTGTATGTGTGTGTGTGGAGACAATTTTTCGTCGACGTTTTCGGGCGTACGGATTAACCGATTTGAATGGTTCAAAAAACATACGATTTCTATTGATGAGGAGACGTGCTAGTTAGTTTCTGTCGAAGACAGGTCGAAGGCTTCGGATATACTTAGCAAAAAGTGCTAAAAATGACAGTTTTTAAAGTTACGGACTTTTATAAAGATGGGGAGAAGTAGTGATTAGACTTTGGTACAGGGAGGTCCAGCCCTTTCGGAGATATAGGGCTAAATGTGGAAAAAATGGCAGTTTTTGAAAGAGCTAAGCATCCGATTTGAATGATTTAAAAAACTTTCTGCTTGTGTTGACGAAACGATTGCTTTTGGGGAATTTTTTGAATTTTTTTTTATTTTGAAAAAAAAAATTATTTTGAATATCTACAAATAATTTGGATTTTAATTTTATTTGTAGTTAAAGTTTTAATCATCACTTATATACTTCACTAAATCACTAAATAAATTAAATTAATTAAAAATAAATAATTTTAATTTTTCAATTCAGTTTATATAATACTAAGTCACTGTTCTTCATTTTAAATGCGATGGATTAAGTTTTATTTACTTTTAATACAATAAGAATAATGAAAGTTACATTATTTATAATAATCTATTTGAAAACTTTTAATATTTTCATTGAGGTACGGAAAGTTCCATAAATTTGCCTTAAGGCACTATGCCATGCACCACTAGTTTATATATATATATATATATATATATATATATATATATATTGCATTAACTTGTAGTATGATTCCAAGTGTAAAAAAAATAAAGAGGGATGCTACAATTTTTTAATAAGAATGGTAAGCTCGGTGCGAAAAGGTTGGAAAAGGCTGTTATAATTTCAAATATAATATTTATATATTCATATAGAAAATAACACTATACATTTATATATATATATATATATATATATATATATATATATAAAATATAGCACCGTTTACCAATACCTATGTAGATGCTAAAAAAAACATATTAAACAAAGTTTGATCATATTTGAATAGGAATGTTTTGTGTATCGTGTTGTATTTTCGTTTGGAAATGAACAGCTAATAATTTAATTAATAAAGTAACAAGTGTTTATATATATATATATATATATATATATATATATATATATATATATCTGCAAACATATATCTGCATACATGTTTGCATCTGTAATCAACGTACATAAGACTGGCAAGTTTTGGACAAAGTAGTCGCCCAATTACGAAAAACATTAGCAAATAAAACATAGGCTGAACAAACAATTTAATTAGCACTCATTATACTTACAACATTAAAAGGCGCCTAATGTAGATCGAATACGCATTCCTTGTTTAGCAGAAGAAATAGTTTATTATGATTGTTTCTATATAATAATGTTTATTATGTTCGTTTCTATATACATAATATATTATTGTAAAACAACCAATGTTATGTTATAAATTTAAATCGATTTTAATAATTCCAAAAACATTTTACTTGTATTGACAAGATGAAGAATTGGTCATAAAGGCAGGTCTAGCGGTTTCGGAGATCTAATAAAAAAAGTAAAAAAATGCCATTTGGCGGTCAAAAATGATCGTTAGACATATGCACATCAATTTATCAGATATTTTATAGAGATTTTAACAATAAGTATAAATTTTGTTTGCATTCCTATGGGTTCCGTACCAATGCTTATCCATTAGACGGCGACGCGGCGCTTACGCGCTTCTATGTTTCATCTCTATGCAGTTAAAGCAGTACGATTGCTTTGAAAAAAAGTTCAGAATTTCCAAAATACGTCAAAATAAAGAAAACATTTTTTTTAAAAAAAAAAATTTTTTTTTTCAAAAAAAGTAATTTTCTGTCGAATTCCTAGTTTCTCAAAAATCTAATTTTTCCGAAGTCAATTTTTTTCAAAAATGTTAATCGTTTTTAAAAAAAAGAATAATATTTGGTACGGAAAGTACCAGCAATTTGCCTTAAGGCTAGATGCCATGCGCCCCACTAGTTATCATTCTATAATTGCCAACGATAAAAGTTGCTAATTTAATATTATGTCAATAATTTAATATTATGTCATTGAATAATGTTTGCAATCTGATCAAATTAATTTTGTTTGCAGGCAGAAGATTTCTTGGATGACATATTGTCGTTCGACGGCGGCTCACTGACGTCAGACTCTTTAAAACTAGATGCAGCCCTCGATGCTGCCGATTTGCAAATTAAGCCAGAGCCGCTTTTACTTAGCGATGCAGAGATACACGCGATCGCCAAAGACAGACAGAAAAAAGACAATCATAACATGAGTGAGTTTAATTAAATTCATAAGGATAGGTAATTTTAAATGATTGCTGAAATATATGAATAAAACCTTGGAAGAGATAACATAAAATGATAAAAAAAAATATTTAGAAGAATCTCTATTTTTCTACACGTTTCGACATATGACCTTTTCATCAACAGTGGATATCGAATTGGAAAATAAGCACAAAATACATTAATAATATTAAATATATTTTAATAATAATAATATACATAATTATCATTGGCACGTAACGCCACAACTGACAGTGAAATCGGTCTGTATAAATCAACAATTATTGACAGTATTCGTGTTACTTTAGAACATATTCATTATAGTATGCCTATTTTCCAATTCATTGATATCCACTGATAATGACATAAAATTTTATACCAAAACGTGTGGAAAAATATTTGAATTTTTTTATCTAATGTTATGCTTTCCAGGATATTATTAAAATATATATATATACCTTCTATATATATTTGGGCGGTTCGATTTAAATGTCGCTTAGGCACATATGATTTTTAGATACTAGGGATCAAAATAAGATACTTTGCTGATAAAAACATATCTCTAAAATGAATTCTGATGTCTCGTGCTTTGACCCAAAGATATGGGTTGAATTTTGAAAAATTTCGTTTCGACTCATTTAGAGTGCTGTAATCGCGTCCAAATGTATGGCAAACCCTAAATAACTTTAGAAAGCCGAACGACCTATGGTTTACTCCCAGGGACCTCCCCTTAAAGGTCTTCCATACAAAAAAAAATTGAGGCGCTCTAAATGAGCCAAAGCAGGATTTTTCATATTTCTTCGGCGAAGTATCTTATTTTGATCCGAAAATCATATGTGCCTATGCGACTTTTTTCTACCCATACAAATCGACCCGATGTATATATTCTGGTTCTATGAATTATTTTAATAAAGAACCCTATACCTACTCTCACAATATTATATGAAGTTTGTTTTGACTATCAACTCTAACCGTTTCATCGAATTCCTATGCAAAGAATCTCATGATTCTTATAAGTTAAAATTTAAATTGGTAAAGAAAATACTTCATTTACTTTCTTTATTTATCATCTTTGACAAAGTTTTTTTAAATGACTTATATAAGATGAGAATAGCAATGTTCCTAAGGGCCAAAAACTTAAAAATTATAGATCTTGGTACGGAACCCATAGAAATTTGCACTTTTCATCTCGTATCATCTAAACGGCTGGACGAGCCTTTGTCAGAAACTAATCAGCACGTTTCTTCATCAATACTAATCGAGTGTTTTTTTTTAATCGAGCGAATTTTTAATCATTCAAATCAGTTGATCCGTACGCACACAAACACACATACATTCTTTTAGGTACGCCAAAATGCCCAGAAACCTTTGAAACGTAAAGATATGCAAAAATTTGCCATTTTTATTTTTTGCGCTTACCCTACGGAAAGTTAAAAAGATACGGTTGTGTGATTTGAATACAAGTGAATATAGTTGATTCTATAACTATTAGTACTTTCATAATAAAAGAATATATACTTTATTTGAGGTATAAAATATGATGTATTGTGATAAAAACATTTTGATGCATAAATATATTCAGATTTGTGAAAGGTTGATGTGAAATATGTGGAGTGATATCTCCACATATATACAAGGGATGGGATAATATAAATTTAGAATATAAATTGTATATCTCAAAAATCATTTGATAGATATATTCGATCTGGGCACTTTGATAGATATGTTCGATATTTTGTAAAGTATCTTTAAAACATATAGCAAGATGCAATCACCATAAATATGCACATAAAGAACTAATAACTGTTGTCTTATTAAAATGTTATGAATTTTACTTGAGAACCAAAGTCTTAATTGTGCTTGTGTTTTGTTATATTCTGTGCAAGTATGATCTAAAATTTAATGAGAAAACCTTTTCATTAACAGTTGAGCGTCGAAGAAGATTCAACATAAACGATCGTATCAAGGAACTTGGCACTTTACTTCCGAAAACAAACGATCCGTACTATGAGATCGTCCGAGACGTACGTCCAAATAAAGGCACCATCCTTAAGTCATCTGTGGACTATATCAAATGCCTCAAACAAGAAGTTAACAGGCTGAAACATAACGAAGCCAGACAGAAGCAAATTGAAAGCCAAAATAGGCGCCTGCTTCTAAGAGTACAGGAATTAGAAATGCAAGCTAAATCTCACGGCTTGCCAATATCATCTGATCATTCATCTTGGCAAACAGGAGGAAGTGCAAATGCAAGTACTGCTCTCAACAACTCGATCATGATGCACGATATACGAAAGGTAAAAAACAATATAATTTATATATATATATATATATATATATATATATATATATATATATTAGGGTGGGTAGATATAAAAGTCGCTTAGGCCCATATAATTTTCGGATACTAGGGATCAAAATAAGATACTTTGCTGAAGAAACCATACCTCTAAAATGAATTCTGATGTCCCGTGCATTCACCCAAAGATTGGGTCAAATTTTGAAAAATCATGTTTTGGTTCATTTAGAGCGCCTCAATAATGACCGACTCGGATTGTGCTCGGACAATTTTATTGCAATTATGAGGTGTTTGATGGAATGTTGATTATTTATTTATTTTTGTTCTCTTGTGGACCAAATGACATATTTATACAATGGTCAAAATGACTTAGTACTATTTTGATGAACTACAGAGTAGTTCATTCGAGACCAAGAAAAAAGAAAACTGAAGCCTGTCAAAGATGATAGGCTTTTATCTTTTACTCTAATTATTTCTAAAACCAGACCAAAAGGAAGCACTTGAAAAAAGATATGACTTGCATTTCTTGCAAATCCCTTTTTTCCTGTTCTGAGCCCGGTGAAGGTTGGTTCCGATGTTCACTTTGGGCTCATGCGTTATGTTCTGATATCCTAAAGAGGAACAAATGATTCATTCATGAACTGTCAAGTGTGAATTAGTATCTCAATACGTCCTCATCATCTATGTCATTATGTCCGTACTATACGTTTTTTTTTTGTAACTGGTTGTATTTCTCCTTAATAAATATGTTACTATAGTTCATACTCAATTAAAAAACTATGTTACTGGTCGTCAATGAATCTAAGACGAGTTAAAACGATTATGACCAATTATAATATCATTAAAAAGCAAAAGAAAACATGTCACTTAATATCCGTTCTTTCGCCACTGGTAAAAATGCACAGCTAAAACTAATTTAACCCTCCGTCGGTCGGATATTTTTTCACCTTCGAACGGTCGGAAAGGTCTGGCTGGACCACCATTCATTTTACATGCATTTATATGGGATAAATGAGTTTTTGGTGTCTTATATATTAACGATTATTAGTAGTAAATATTTATAGTTTTGATTTTTTCTTTTTCTTACCGTCTTTTGCATGTGTTGAGCTTGCTTATAATAAAAATAGTACATATTATATTATATAAAAAAAATCAAGAAATATAAAAAAATCGTTGCTTATTTAAAATCGTTGTTGTTAATTTTTCTGTTTTATATCAATGAAAAACAATATTTATTCTTTTTCGACGCCTATGAAATGAATGTGAAATTCAAATGAAAACTCAAAGTGAAAATATAATTTCACTACAGGTTTGCGAAAAAAATATTTTGAACGCAGTACGGGTAGAAAAATTGTTGATAATGTGCGCATTACTCATCCGATTTTCAATGTTTGCGATGACCAATTAGTTTGGTAGGTTTTCAAGGAACTCTCGTCGTGAAAATACTAACATTCATGTTACAACACATAGCAAAGAATATATACAACGCAGTTTGAATAGAAAATACCATGAAAAAAGACAAAATACTGGTTTACATATATCAAAAAGCGTATATTTCATACAAAATGTATGGGTGGTCTAGACAGACCTTTCCGACCGTTCGAAGTATAAAAAAGTTAATATCCTTATAATTATCCTTCTGTACATTTTTTCGTCCTGATTTTTTCATTGATCGACAGCTAATGAAATTTTAGGAAAAGTCAAGAAATTTCCAGTCGATAGGATTACTAGAAGTTTTTTTTTTTAATTGAAGTCGAAAAAAGTCTGGCCAGACCACGCCGACCGACTGCGGGTTAAAAATAAGTATAATCCAATATATATACTACATGATGCTCCATAAATGCTTGCATTCTAGATACCACACGCCATCCACATATCATATATGTACTTAAGTTTCATTAAACTTTAAATATATGTATTTGTTTTACAAACATAATTACTTCATGTTCAAATGCCTTATTATGGGTTTATTAATAAAAGTCAATTTCAATATGAAAAAGTTGCCAATGGAAAGTATAAATTTAAAAACAATTACAGTAATGAATCTATTGGCTAAAATGAAATGAAATTGGTTGATAATAATATATAATAAAAATATTATCTGCAGATGCCCGATGTAGTGAGCGATGCTGCCACTACACTGACACTTTGTCAAATGGAGGAACTGATGGATCCTTTACTGAGTTCGGGCCACGATTCCCTCGATCCGATGTTGGGCTCGCCAATGCACCACCCGATAAGCGCGATGCTGGGCGGCAGTCACGAGCCATACCGCGAGGGCGACCCGATGCTGTCGTCGCCCTGCTCCCTCGATACTGACTCCCTAGTAGATGACATCGATATGGCCGCGTGATCCTGTTTTACAAGGCGGCCGCAATATTTTGAACTCATTCTTATTTTATCGCCATCATACGAATCATTCTCTCTTTTTCGAGCATATGACCACGAGACGTATAACTTTTGACTATGTGTTTCAAATCGGGTGTGAAATACGTTCTAAGGTATAAATGTTAATGTTTAGTTAAGCCATGAAAAATATGCAATGCAAATTATAATAAGTATTTTTCATAAAATATAAAACTAGTAAATCTGGAAATATTCATAAAACATACATTTTTATTTATATGTTTGTACGTTCTAATAATTGAAATTTTATTCTGTATTCAATATAATTTAATATTAAAGTTTTAAGTTTAGTATGTGGTATGCATGCTGTCCTCCGTCCTTTTGTCACGTCCAGTTACCGGCGTTTATGGACAGCACTTGCCCCTTTGCGCCCGGCTATCCCCTTTTGGTGACAACGTAAGTCTAGTAAATAGCTCAATGTCTCCCTCTGAGGCACTCGTCAGTTTTAATACATAATTCTCAATTCATATTGAAGCGTAGAATAAAATAGATCAAGGATGAGCAACTCGCTGCCCTTTTAATATTTTTCTGCTGCCGCCCAAGCATCTCTAAAGTAGAATTTTATTTATTTCACCAACTTTCTTCCATAATATATTTAATGTCCAATAAATTAATTATAATGTATTTTTTTCTTGTTGCATTAATATATGAAATATTTACGTTTTTGTACATTACAATATTTTTATATTATAATTTTATTAGTATATATCATGCTTTGTAAAAAATTAAATGCAGCCCGTCATAAAATGTTAAAAATTAAATGCAATCTGTGAGTTAAAAAGGTTGCTCATTCTTGTAATAAGTCTATGCAGTTATAAGACAGTGTTCTCAAAGTATTTTTGCCCTTTTTTTTCTAAATACCGTGCAATTTATGAAGCACAATTCTATCAAAAAAGACAGAAACATGATACATTACACTTTTCTGTGGAATGATAAAAAGACTGTCACGACACTAATACTGCTGAAAATAAATTTAGATGTCATTGTAAATGTATGTTTTTCAATGTGCACAAATTCATATAAAACCATAAAATTGCATCACATAAAATTGCATGACATACACAATAATATCAAGTTTACAGAACAGAAGGTACGTTTTCGTCTGAATACGGCGCCGAGTTGCTGATAGATTGTTTTTGAATAGGTGTCGGGCGGAAAGGGTTAAAAGTATAATCATTTTAACATTTGTGCATATGTTATTAAATCATTATGAATTTTTATGAATGCATGCTTTTATTGACAAAATAAATTATTTTGGAAGAAAAAATAAAATTAATAGTTTTACATGTCGTATACAATTTATACCAAAATCTTCTAAAATTATTTATTTTTTTAATATATAAATATTCATAATATAATAAGTGAATTTTAATTGCTTCTGGTATATTATATAATGTGACACTGACACAGTTTTTTCCATTAACAGTAAATGATCATAAAAGATAATTTAAAATTTATAAAGAAGGTTTCATCAAGGTTTCAAAAATAAATATTACTTATTGCCTGACGAACCTGAACAACAATTGGACAATTAAATCCCTCCGACCGTATACCTCATATCGTTTAAGTTATTGTATCGTTTAAACCTGATGTATAAGTATTACATATCAAAGTATTATTTAAAAATTTTGTACGTCTAGTGAAATCAATTTAAATTACTATAGGCACAAAACAAATAATCGTTAACAATTGTTAATAACACTACAAAATATATTCGCTATTTGATGAGATAGGTTGAAAAGTCATGTGTATATTTATTCGTAATTGTACTGCATACATATTTTTATGTACATTACGTATGCAATAAATGAAGTGATGGTTGCCAAAATCACAGTTTAAAATACATTGTTGTATATGCAACACGGATTAAATTTTAAAGGTCATGTTTCTTGTCTCTTACTATTTAACATGTGCTGATATTGATATCTTTTCAAAAATGTTTTTAATTTTTGTAAATTATTGAAAAATCTTTTTATAATTGAATGAAATTACTTTGCATATTTTTGACAGATGTTTTTAATATTTTTCAGATACTATTGTTATATTAACAAAAACTTCTGAATGAAAGTTAATCGTTTTTATATAAATTGTTTTCTCAATTCATAAAAAACATTGAATCGTTTGATTTTTAATGTAGCCATGTACAAAGATTATAGAAATACATAATGCATTGAAAACCTCAGAATAAATTTTAATTATATTTTGTATATACAGAATCTAGAAATAATTAAAATTTTGATTTTTACAGTTTGAGATGTAAAAATTAGATAAGTAATAATGTAGTAAATTTTACACTGTATTGTACTATTATTGATAATAATTATGAATAATTTTAATATTGCCTTTATTCGCAAACTATTTATTATTATGCTAACAAAATTTTAAACATAATAATGCCTCTCAAATTTTTATTTTGGGTTCATCGAGCAGGTAACGGCATTTTCAGTGACAATATTGCAGTGTCATTAGCTAAACGAAATGTGAAATTTTGAACTGGTCGAAATGAATCCAGAATTGTTTCTATTAGAGTTTGTACTTAAAATGTTCATAACATTAAGTCATTTTTATGAGGCAGAATTGTTATCATGTGAAGCGAATAAAATATAATGAAAAAATCCGGATAAATATCCGGTTATTAAGAAAGAAAGATCATATACTACTTGAAACTAAATGTGCCTTTAATATTTATATCAGCGCTTCCAAAAATGAATCTATTGTTATTAAGTATCTATGTTAAGTTTAAAGTTGCAAATTGTTACAACCAAGAAAGTTTTAATAAAATGTTATCATCAATCTTGATGTTTTATAATTGAATGTTTTCTTTAAATCCATTAGCGCGAACGCGAACTGAAACTATTACACGATGCCTGTTCAACTATGACAAAAAACAAATATCCAACAAACAAATTAAGAAATCCAAGAAACAAATTAAGAATGGTAGATACAAACTGCAATAAGTTTCATACATTTATGAGTCACACAAATATTCAGAGAAAGAAGGAAAATGACTAAATTTTATGGTTTATGCATGAAATGTTGTGTTTTTGTAAAAAGCTGAATTATACTTGCAGCGTTTATTTAAATTATTTTCGAAAATGTGGTTGTTTGATTCCTACTTGTTGGGATAGTGACTAGCAAGATAGAGAAATATATTCAGCTTAAACCAGGTATTAAACAATTAGAATGTAAATAAATGAAAATGTTGTAGTTGGCTAAATGCTCAGAGTGAGCGAGGCCAGAAAAAATTAAGAAAAAAAAACAGGTATTCTTCTAAATATTGTTATTTTTACTTTTGCTTCACTTTCTTGCACTATAACTTATGCATAATTAACGTGTTGCTTTATTGTTTCAGGTTCTGCCCATTTCCTCATTCACTCATCACTGCTCCGATGTTCTGTATCCACTTCTTGCATGAAGAAGAATCTTAATTATGCTATGTAATAAATTAATGCTTTCTCTCTCTCTCTCTCTCTCTCTCTCTCTCTCTCTCTCTAATTCTCTCTCTTTATCTGTCTGTCTGTCTGTCTGCCTGTCTGTCTGTCTGTCTCTTTCTCTCTCTCTTTTATGAAGATTTTACCGAAACTTTTGATTTATTTCAATTTCTCAATTTGATTCTGTGCACTTTTGAAATGTGTGAAACATGTGGAGTTTTGACATATTTTGAAATAATCTCATTTCACCACTTATAAAAGGTAATCCGTATTGTTGTACTAAATACAAGTTTTTAAATTTAATTGAATTAATAATATATTGTATAGATTTTATTATATATATATATATATATATATATATATATATATATATATATATACGAGTATATATATATATACGAGTATATATATATATATATATATATAATATAGACTTGTTTAAATTGCACCTTATTGCTGAAAGACCAACATTTTTTTGACCGAAAATTTTTTTCCCAAAATTTTTTGGACCAAAATTTTTTTAACCAAAGTTCTTTTGACCAAAAATTTTTTTCTCAAAATTTTTTGGACCAAAAATTTTTTTGACCAAATTTTTTTTGACCAAAAATTTTTTTGACCAAAATTTTTTTTGACCAAAATTTTTTTGACCAAAATTTTTTTGACCAAAATTTTTTTGACCAAGATTTTTTTGACCAAAATTTTTTTGACCAAAATTTTTTTTGCCAAAATTTTTTTGATCAAAATTTATTTAATCAAAATTTTTCGCAGCAAAATTTTTTTGAGCAAAATTTTTTTAACCCAAATTTTTGACCAATATTTTTTTTCTCAAAATTTTTTGGACCAAAATTATTTTGACCAAAATTTTTTTGACCAAAATTTTTTTGACCAAAATTTTTTGACCAAAAATTTTTTTTACAAAATTTTTTTGACCAAAATTTTTTTGACCAAAAATTTTTTGGACCAACATTTTTTTTACCAACATTTTTTGGGCAAAATTTTTTTGACCAAAATTTTTTTTCCCAAAATTTTTTTGACCAAAATTTTTTTTCCCAAAATTTTTTTGACCAAAATTTTTTTTCCCAAAATTTTTTGGACAGAAGTTTTTTGACCAAAAATTTTTTTGACCAAAATATTTTTTTCCAAAATTTTTTTGACCAAAATTTTTTTGACCGAAAATTTTTTTGACCAAGATTTTTCTGACCAGAATTTTTCTGACCAAGATTTTTTTGATCAAGATTTTTTGGACCAAAATTTTTTTGACCTAAATTTTTTTGACCAAAATTTTTTTGACAAAAATTTTTTTGACAAAAATTTTTTAGACCAAAATTTTTTTGACCAAAATTTTTTTGACCAAATTTTTTTTGGCCAAAACTTTTTTGACCAAAATTTTTTTGACCAAAATTTATTTAACCAAAATTTTTTTCCAAAATTTTTCGCAGCAAAATTTTTTTGAGCAAAATTTTTTTAACCCAAATTTTTGACCAATATTTTTTTTTTCAAAATTTTTTGGACCAAAATTATTTTGACCAAAATTATTTGGACCAAAATTATTTTGACCAAAATTTTTTTGACCAAAATTTTTTGACCAAAAATTTTTTTCCCAAAATTTTTTTGACCAAAATTTTTTTGACCAAAATTTTTTTGACCAAAATTTTTTTGACCAAAAATTTTTTGGACCAACATTTTTTTGACCGACATTTTTTTGGGCAAAATTTTTTTGATCAAAATTTTTTTTCCCAAAATTTTTTTGACCAAAATTTTTTTTCCCAAAATTTTTTTGACCAAAATTTTTTGGACCAAATTTTTTTTTACCAACATTTTTTTGACCAAAAATTTTTTTAACAAAATTTTTTTGACAAAAAATTGTTTTGACCAAAAATTTTTTTGACCAAAATTTTTTTGACCAAAATTTTTTTTCCCAAAATTTTTTTTCCCAAATTTTTTTTTCCCAAAATTTTTTTTCATAAAATTTTTTTTCCCAAAATTTTTTTTCATAAAATTTTTTGGACCAAAAATTTTTTGACCAAAATTTTTTTAAAAAAAATTTTTTGATCAAAATTTTTTTGACCAAAAATATTTTGGACCAACATTTTTTTGGCCAGAAGTTTTTTGACCAAAAATTTTTTTGACCAAAATTTTTTTTCCCAAAATTTTTTTTCCCAAAATTTATTGGACCAAAATTTTTTTGACCGAAAAT